ATGCTCTCCAGTACAGGTTAGCTCTGAGTGTTAGCGATGCTAATGTAAACACCGACCATATTACGTCCAAAACAGTCGGGCATTGTTTCTGATAGCAACGTTTCTGATTGGGCCGTGGGTCCACATTTCAGATATTACGTCATATCGGACGCAAATCTGGATCAGCTCTGTTGTTCCCCCGTTTTTAGAGATTTGGGTACGGAGGAAAAGAGAGAGGGTTTTATTTTCTGACGCTGCGTGAGTTCCCCGACACACCGGGGACACATTGATGTAGAAAATACATCACAAAGTGCATTTTGCATGATAGGTCCCCTTAAAGTGACGTTTATGTATCTGGATACCAATTCCTAAAAAGACAGAGAACTAGTTTCTAATAAAGTAAAGTGTGATACTGACTGCGTCTCCCATGTGTGACTGGAAGCTGAAGCGTGCGGGGGGGCAGAAGGCGGTGGGGTAGAGGCCCAGCAGACGCTGCCGGTCCCGGGCTGGATCCAGACCCTCCACTGCCCCCTCCAGAACCTCCAGGCCCGCCCGCCTCGAGGCCTCCAGGCTCAGCTCTGCAGACAGGTAGGTCCTCAGGGCCCGGCTCAGACTGGAGTGGTACCCTAGGTCACAGCACTGGGGAGAAGAACCAGAACCAATCATAGTTAGTTCAGTTAAATTAGGTCACAGCACTGGGGAGAAGAACCAGAACCCTTAAAATATACACATAAATTTGTATTTATTTATCCAAAGGGAAAGTGGGTTTTAGTGACAGCTGCTCTACTTTAGATTGAAATAAATAAAATAGACATTAAGTTAAGTTGAGTTAAACTAAGGTCACAGCAATCGGGAAAATATTCTCATTTAAACATATTTTTTGGCATTTTTCTAATATTTTTTGGCATGGCTTTACAAACTATATATTACATTTTATTTAACCCAAGTGTTACGACTGTATATGTTTATTTTTTGGGTCAGTGGTTGAATGTTAGCCCCATAGGGCCTCCTACGGGTGGGGTGTAACACAAGGGAAAGTGGGCTCCATTAAAGTTGATGAATCAATTTTAACGCATACAATTGAAGATACATATTTTTGAAAGAAATGGAATAATATTATTTATATAAACGTAAGCAGTTAAAGACAAAAAGTGCATAGACAAAATAAAAAAATGTATAAAGACCCAAAGAAAAAGTAAGAATGTGCAGAAGAAATACAATACATAAATGTATATCAACACAAGAAGTTAAAGAAAGAATATGTAAACAATAAAAAGATCAAATACAAATATTTCTCTATACAAAATGTAAAAATATGCAATATCTAAAATACAAATATGTAGGAAAACACAAATATAATTTATAATTAGCATTCAAATATTTATATTAACTCAAAGTAAAAATGTGTAAATAAAATATTTATAAGATACAGAGCTTTTAATGACTGCTTTAAAATGTATTTCAATGCAATTATAAAATGGGTTTCTTAGCAGTTTGGCTTTTAATCTTAGTTTTAAAGCACTTTGAATTGCCTTTTGTTGAATGAGGCCTTTTTATTCCTGCAGAGAATCATCGCAGCGTGAAAGAAGGTTTGTCGAAGGAGAAGGAACAGTTTCTACTTTCTGCTCCAGTAACCTCAAACAGGACATTTGATTAAACTTTAATATATCATTTTTGAGTCCTTTAGGACAGCATTTTAACTTGTGACGGTGTTCCCGTTTCCTCTGCTCCATGAATGAATAAAATAAAGAGCGTCTCACGTCGATGATGTCTGGCAGGTCGTGGATGTAGTATTTGAAGACGGAGGCGTTGGTGGCCTCGAGAGTCAGAAGATACTCGTTCCTCGCCTTCAGAGTCTTCAGTTTGTTCTCAGAGTACTTCGCCTTCCTCTGGGGGAGAAACAAACACACATTATCAGCAAAAAAGAAACATTAACCAGCTTAAAGAAAGATTACCTGTCAGTTCCCCGTCTCACTTGAATCAGGAATATTGTTATAGTCAAGGAGGGTTAGGGATATAGTTTATATATTGTATTTAAATTAGGGCCGGGACTCGATTAAAAAAATTAATCTAATTAATTACAGGCTTTGTAATTAATGAATCGAAATTAATCGCATTTTTAATCACATATAAATATTTGACCTGAGAACAGTGAGAAGCAATTTTTTTCACATGGATTTTAGTATACCATTGAATAATGACTGAATACATAAGCTTAAGCAACAAAACATTGTTTATTTTTTTCAAGGAGGTTCTTAACCAAGACCAACAGAAAAGTGCAATTTTTGCCATAAAGTGTAGCAATAGCATATTTAGGAATATAGTACATTTCAGAGATTCAGGTAGCCTATAGGTAGGTAGACCTTCTGTAAACTATAACACTATGTTTTTTAAGTAAAACACAATACTTTCAAGTACATTCAGAACATTGGAAACCCTGACTATTAGAAAACATCTCTCTGTTGCTTCAGAGGCCATAACAGACTTTGTTGATTTACCAACAGTTGATTTAAAAAATCTAATACATTTCAGTCCAACTCTCTCAATAACCTTGGCCAAAACCATAAACAGTTCAACATAAAGTGCCAGTTGCACCAACAACGTAATAAATAGTTCAACATAAAGTGTACCATTTAAAATAAAATAAAATTCGTTCAATATCCTGATGAAAAATAAAATCTCTCTGTTGCATAGGCCACTGTTTGATCAACGCGAATTGGGTGTGGGTCCTTGTATTCCGAGTCGGGCTAACGTCCACGCTAGCTTCC